GTGTGTGTGTGTGTGTGTGTGTGTGTGTGTGTGTGTGTGTGTGTGTGTGTGTTGGACAAAATCAGTGTTCAAAATCAGTGGTCAGTTTTCTTATAGGAGCTGATTGCCACTGACTTTGTAGTTTTCAGAGAAAGAAACAATTTCGTACCTTGTTTGTGCCACAACAGTGAGCTAGCTACCATGCATGGTAGCCCCAGCTGTGCTGGAAAGAATGGAGCCATCTCCTGTCCTGACAGTAGCAGCAGCTGGTGTGTTTCGCTTTCCTGGTTCTCCTCAGTTTGTTTCCACGGGATCAGGAAAGCATAACGTGTGATCTCTATCTGGAAGGTTGCAGTTGGGAAGTTCACTAAAAGAGTGCTTTGGATGGTCCACCAACCGTGATGCAGAACTCAGTCAGAATTTAAACATGCATGAGCGCAAACAGCCAGAAATGTTCTCTTTTCGGTTTTCCTTTTGCTGGAGGTGAGTAGAAATGTGTACGTGGCTGGGAAGCACTAAGAAAAGTCCTCACTATTTCAGACACGCCAATTCTCTAATGTGTTTCACTGTGTTTTCTTACTGAGATGTTAAACCATTTAAATTCACGTTAGCACCGCTATCAGAGGTATGTGTGATAAAAGTAAAAAGCATTTCAAGAAAGTTGAGGAGTGCACGGCCCTGGAAATATGCCTGGCTATTAGAGATGGCAAATTCTTCCTTTGCACTTTGCACCCTGTGTCCTACAGTCTACTTTCTGTGTGGATTTGTTTTGTATACTACTCTGTCACCAAAAACAAATTGGAATTTTCTTGAATAAACAGCACAGGAGAAAACTGCCCAGAACTGCCTTTACATTGCTCCACTGTTTCACAAAATCTTTTACTAGACTGGAAATGCCTTTTAACCAGTTATGCAAGATGCAAGTCACTCAGGTTTCAAGAGGGTCATTTCTCTCCCCTCTGCTTTATCAAATACACACACACACACACACAAACATACGCTCACACATATACACCATATACACGCTCATCCACATGCACACACACACACATATACACACTCAAGCACATACATGTATACACATACACTCACACATACACACACTCATGAATATATACACACATGCACACACGCACACACAAGCCTATAATATATATAATGTACACTGTACATAACATATAGGGGATCAGTTCTCACAGCAATAAACATAAATCACCCTTTACCTCCAGTATAAAATAGGAAGTCAATGTATAAAAATCTACACAAATTCCTCATTTAGTACATCGAATAAAAATATTCACCCAAAGGCACTGAACCAAGTTTATGCAATTGCAGTGGTGAGCTATTCTAAACCCTGGTTTCCCCTCTAAA